ACCAACAAAACCTAAAACGATTCTATTTTTGAAAGAAATTTTTTTTTCACCGATTTTAAAATTTTGGCGGAACACTTATACGAAGTCCACGGAACACCTGTGTTCCGCGGAACACCGGTTAAGAACCACTGATTTAGGCGGTTATACAATTTGTCTCGACAGTTAACAATAATAAAAAAAGAATGAATTAAAATATTAAACTACTTATAATTTAATGTTATAAGCGACTCCTATTAGAAATAATAAATTTGAACGATTTTTCTTGTAATTTATAATTTCACTAATACGTTTTTCTCGTATATATATAGTGTATTCTCTGCTAGTTGGAGTATGTGCCCTTCCACGAATTATATATTTAACTTTCCGTACCATTTGAATATCAAGACATTGAATTAATTTCAAAATTTCAAAATTTTAATAAAATATTTTACATTAGTATTACGCACAGTGAAAATATGTAAAATGTATTTTCGGGTAAATGGTGTCGGGCAATTGAAGTATAGGGTTAAAGTAATGTCGCGCAATTAAGGTGTCAGGCAAACATATTAGACCCACACTGCGCAATTCATGTTTGCAGACAAAAACTAAAAGTATTAAAATATTCTGTAAAATGCTTTCAATTTCAATATTTTCAATTGTTTCCAATTCACATAACTAATAGAAACATGAAGTTATAGAACACGTAAAAAAAAGGCTATCATTAGATTTCTACCAGTATTTCAATCCAAATTATTGAGGGATGACAACGATTTATTAATATTTAACCAAATATTAATTATTTTGTTACCAAAAAATCAGACAATTCTTCGAAAATTTAGATTTGTTAGCAAACTTCATATTCTTCGGCAACAAAAATTACAATTTCAATATTTAGTTTTACTTATTACGTTTTATGATCGTCTAAAGTAGGAATCTCCAAAATGTTTTATTCGAGTGCCTCTTAACGGGCCAAAATTATGATTAGAGCGCGGATTTGTATGCATTTAAAAGTATCGAAATATGCCATATAATATGCAGTAAAAATCATGAAAATATGCAAAAAATATGCAGTCGAAATCATGAAAATATGTAAAAAATATGCAGTCAAAATTATGAAAATATGCAAAAAATATGCAATAATTTTTAATTTATTTAAAATTTATAATTCAACTAATAAAAATTAATTACTTAAATACTTAATACAAAAAAATTTAGGGAATTTTCTGAACTTAATTTATTTTTAAAATTTTATTTATTATTAAAATAAATAATCATATGCATTTCAAGTTTATTTTCTGTGAAGCTGTGTCGTTTATCGGTTAACATATTTTTAAAGACCGAAAACGAACCCTTGATGTCAACCGAAGTTATTGGGGCATATTTGAAGCAAGTGGTATGTCGATAATCGACTGACACAGCAAGAGCGATTAAGTTTACGTCATAATCGATTATTTATTTTATAACTAAATATATATATATATATATATAAATTATTATTTAGTGACTATGAAATTTATTTTTAATTTTTTTACTTGACAAAATATTATTTTATACATTTTTTTTTAAATTTTCACTTCAATATGCAATAAATTTTGAATTTTGCCAAAATATGCAAAAATATGCAATAACCTCTAAACATGCAGAAATATGCAAAAAAAAATTCACCATTAGCTTCAAATTATGATGATTCCTGGAGATAACTGACAAAAATCCAAAAATATTGAAAGGAAAAAAAATATGCGATTGCATAGAAATCCGCGCTCTAATTATGATACAGCAGATAAAGTTAGTAATTGACAGGAATGCGTGATAATTACTTCGGATTTAAATTATTAACCGTTCTTTGGGGGGTGGGTAAAAATTTGTTCACGGATCGAATGTGACCCGCCGGCCATGGAAACCCATGGTAAAGAAACGGCTCTAAAATGCGAAGATCCGCTTAAATATGAAAATACTGGAAACTTTTTAGTCGTTAATAATTATAAGTACGTTGATAATTATAAATACAACATTGAAAATGTACAACAATAATTAGAGTAAATATAACACAATATATTGGACAAAAAAATATTTATAAAATTAACTTATAAGTTGCTAAGTTACATATACTTACTTTCAAAATCTAAAAATATGTCATATTTCTGCTGAGAAGAACAGCAACTATTCTCATCTCGAGCTAACAGACTGAGTAATTTACCCATTGTATATTGACAGCAGCAATCTAAGGTCATCAATTGTTGTACTAGTGAAATACTCTGGAAAAAAAATTGTATTACGCTGTTAGTAAAGTTAAATGCTGAACAATTTCGAAAAAAAAAACTTATTCAAAATTCGGTGAACTGATAAACATCTTATTAAAAGTAAATCATTTTAAAAACCGTTTCAGAAAACATAGAAAAACGAACTGTTCGCGAAAAAAAGTTTTCTTAATCATGGCTAGAATATATTATTTAAATGAGAAAACTATATAATTATTTTATTCTTACATAAAGTACATATTATATTGTCATACGTATTTTTGTATCAATATTTCTCTAAGTTTCATTGACAAAAAACTTACCAAAAATCAGTTCGATAGACCCAATGAGAATTATATTTTAAATTTTTATATAGAATAAAATATTATCTTTTGGTATAGATTTCTATATCGACTTACCACACACTGAAAATTATACGTAGTAAGATTGTTAATAATGTGTGTTAAATTATGCTTTAGAAAGTGATTCGAAAAACCCTGGTTTATCCTTATTTCTTCAAAGAAAACTTTAAAAGTGTTTGTTCTTACTATGTACATTTAGAATACAAAACTATTTTAATTATATTCTCATTTTTCAATTCGATATGGAAAAGGGATAATTAACTTTCTGTCAATTTTTAATAGACATAATTAAGATCAATTAAACCTGCGAATTATTTTATTAAGACCGACTACAATGTAATCACATCACAACTCACAATATTCAGCAATTATATTAACTATATTTATATTAAGTGTTCGATATTCATCTCATTAATAATAAACACAGTCGAGTCTCGATAACTTGAATTTTAAGGAGAATGAAAATTAATTCGATTATTGTATTTTTCGTATTATATAACTCGAATTATTTTTTAAATATGATTAAAATTCAGTTGGTTAATTTTATGTATTTATAAACTACAATAACAATTAAAAGATTACATTTTTAAATACACGAGTATAATTCTGACAATTTAGAAAGTAATTTGAAATAAAAGTTTAACATTTGGGTTGTTTTAAAATAAAGTTTTCAATTTCCCTTAAATATTTAAACAGTATCTCATTGGCACTTTAATTTTTTCAATTAATATTCTTATGTTATCAAGCGATTATATAAGAATCATTGCTTTTTTATTAGAGACAATTATTTGATATTTATTTTTTATTATCTTCTGCCTGATTAAATTCAGGAATTGCTTGCACAGGATCCACAAAGTTTTAATCGCTTAATATTCCAGTTATATGAATATTAGCACCAACTTCAAAAAATGTTAAAAATAAAATTTATGGCACTAATTTATAGTGAATCTACTATAATATTTCAAGTTCTGCATTGATCCATATGTTGAACTATGATGTCATATCTGGTGGAAAAAATTTAATTTACTTTTTGCCAATTAAGAGGGGAACTTTTTTTCTTTTAAACAAATTTTTTGATAAAATTAACAACCATTTTTCATACAATTCGCTCGCCATCCACGTTTTCTATTCGATTCATAATTTAATGACTAATATTTAACGTATTTAAATTACCTAAGTTTTGCTGATTTTCCAATTAATCGTAGTTTAATGTTTACATGCTGATCATATTTGATACTAAAATAACTGTAACTCTTCTTTGATGTTTTTTCTTTCTGAAAAACATGAACAATCCTCTATTTTTAAAAGAAATATTTGACTCAGTAAATACTTAAAAAATAAACCTGTCTTATTAAAATTATAAACGTCATCAAAAGAATATTGATTAATAATTGGTAATTAATAGTTTTATTAACCAATCAGTAGATACTGATTGGTCAACTAAAGAATTTTCACCACATATATTTCAAAAAACATTGTTGTTCCAATTTTTCCAATTACTTAACCAATCTTCACTAGCTTTAAACCGTTTATTACCTAGTTAAGTTGCAAAAAATTTACTGAAAAGTTTAAATCTCCACAATGAATTAACCGAAGAATAATCTAATTAAGTAAACTAACGTCTATACTGAGATACTTAGAAATCTCCATTATTTAATAGCTAGTTTCGTATTTAGTAAAATCTTTATGTCCTCTTTATTTTTCTGTATGGTTGTAAGTATGTACTGAAATATTAAATTATTTGTAAGTTTATTTTTTAGATCTAATAATTTTAATTATCTTTTTGATTATGTTCACTTTTTCAGTAATTGATAATGTAACCAATTTACATTTAAGAAATATACATAACGAATAATGAACACTACAATTTTACACGGTGTACAACGTAGATACACTGACAACTGTTGATTATTTTGCAATACAATTTACATAAGACATACGAACATTTATGATTGTAAGAGAGTTCTAAATTTCTAATAATACAATTTAAGATATACTTGTCATAATTTACTTTAAGCTATCTATGTACAATTATTTTTACCTATCGCGATAGATATTACATTGAAATTATATGGATTTCCAGAGCTCGAGAAAAAAATTTGAGATATTGAGGATTTCAAGTTACCTAACGAGACTAAAATAGCGAATAGGTAATTCGTGGACGACGTGTCGGAATTAAAGTTTTATTGTGACAGACAAAACATGCGGCAAATACCCTCGTATATATTTGTTTACATGAAAGTATATATAATATACAGAATGTTCACTGAGTGTCGTTCCACAATATCGGAAATAATGGAGTCTGGGGATTTAAAGTCTTTGAGTTTTATCGCCCAAAACCCGATTACGGAAACAACTTTTCGTCAAGTAAAATTCTACAACGACCAATCCAAACGAAGTAGGCAAATCCAGACAAAATACATTGCTAAAGTATACCTACGAAATTATTTGTGGCGGCTCCAAATTAAAAACTACTATAACTTAGAGCAAACTAATGAACCCTTATCTAGTATTTACATAGTCACGTATATAAAATACATAAATATATAACATATATATATAAAAAAAAATCTCGTTTCACAGTGTTTGTGACCATACTTCTCAAAAACGTTTTAACCGATATTAATGAAATTTTGTATATACATTTGGTAGGTCTACGAATAGGTTTTTATCTATTTTTTATACTGCTAAGTGCTATTGTTTAATAGATCATAATTAATTTAATAATTTTTGACCCAGTCGATAACTGGGCAATTGAAAATTAATTATTAAATGATACTATTAAAAAACTATTAAAGAACTATTAAAAACTATTTAAAACTATTAATTTTATTTTTGGTATTAAATGACGGGCATTGCATAAATATTAAACAACAAGATCCCACAACAGGTGCTAAAACAAACAAGAATGTTAGTTCGAAGGATTAATATGCATATCGGTTGATGATTAGATGCTATTAAGACTACATTATTCTACGATGTCGTGAACTTGGTCGACATGTATGTAAAGATAGAAAGCAAACGATTCCGATACTTGCGATTCAATAAAAAAGCTGGATAAGGAAGATTCTCAAAACAATTGTTAGATATCGGTGATGGGAAAGTTACTACAAATAAAACGGGATGCATACAAATACCGACCGATTTTTGCACAATCATTGATTCGCAAGATGTTCTCATTGACCAGATATTTCCCAGTGTACACAGACAATACATAAATCATGAGTGACTGGCAGAAAGAGCAATTTTTTCAGCAAAAAATGTGAAAGTCAACCAAAGCCATATCTAGGGGGGGGGGTTCAGGGTGTCTGCCCTCCCCCGGAAATTTCTTCAATATTTTACGAAAGTTTAAAATACTTATTTATTTTTAATACCAACAATAATATTTTCAGTCAAAAATGACTTAAGCTCCAATTAATCATTTATACTGCTTTTAATTTTATATCATAATATCATATAAAAATATGATATTAATTTTAATAAAAGAAGATTTAATCTTTTTCTGTCTTATTTTTAACCAAATAACAAAAGTTGAAATTGAAATTCAATAAAATTACAATAAACATATTTTGGACCCCTCCCGAAAAAAATTTCTAGATACGGCCTTGACGTCAACGAAATGAATCTCAAGATACATTTGTTACCAGGAGATTTGGTGTCATATAAATTTATTGATACAGTTTGCGATACCACTTAAGCTGTAAATTATCCAACAGAGTTTTTAAACTCATTGGATTTACCAGACATGCCACCACATAATTTATAACTGAAGGTTCAATCTCCAGTTATTTTGCTTCGTAATTTGAACCCACCACGGTTGTGCAACGACACGCGATTAGTCATTAAAAAGTTAATGAAAATTGTTATCGAAGCCATCATTTTAAATGGCAAATTCCGAGGTGAAAATATATTATTACTACGAATTTCTATTAAGCCCACAGATGTGCCAATATAATTTAAACGCCTTCAATTTCCAATTAGATTGGCATTTGCAATAACTATCAATAAGTCTCAAGGCCAAACAATGTCTGTTTGTGGCTTAGATTTGAGCCCATCATGTTTTTCACAAGGACAATTATACGTGGCGTGCTTTCGAACCATCCAGTTTGTTTGTGTTAGTGAAAGATGGGATAACAAAAAATATTGTACACTCTGTTGCATTAAGGGATTGATATTGTTTTTTACTAATATTTTCATAATTAGCGATATATATAATTTTGAAGGATCAATTTTAATAAATTATTAAAAAAATAAATGTTTGATGTTTTTTCATTTTTATATTTCGTCACCGTTTACAGCACTCCATACCTCTTCCACTTATATACCACATCCTTAGACACCTATATTAAGTTAGTTATTTTTTTCTAACAAAATATTCTCTACAAATAATTTATATGACAAAACAACGTTTGTCGGGTCAGCTAGTATATGTTTATGTATATTAATCTATAAAATTATTTTTTGTAAACTCAAATCAAGTTCTATCTTGGTTACTTTTAATCGATAAATATAAAAACCAAAGAATATTATATTCTTATTGATGTTATATTAATAATTTATTTGAAAACAAACAGTTCATAAACCTAAATCAAACAAGACAAAAATAGTATTAGTTCTAACCAAAAAATCAAACAAAACATTACACATATTTATTGATGTAAAAAATGTATAGACTAAATATTATAGGCAGATTAAATATACACCGATAATACAAATACATAAACATATAGTTTAAAGGTGTTTTTTGAGATATTTTATATAGTTCACGGCGTATTATACATATTTTAGATATACTGAAACATACTCAATGTCAATATTTTTAATATTTAATTATTCTATGAAATAGAATGCAATAATTGCATAGAGATAATATTAATAATAATATTTGTTAATAAGTATAAATAGTACATTAAATTAACATGTATCAATACTTTAGTGTAAATATACAAAATTGATCATGACATCAGATAAATATAATAAATAATTGTACAGTTATTAAAGGGATAGAGGAATATAAGTCAAATTGAGTTTAATTACTCCAAAGATATAAAAATTCATTCCTAGAAATTAAAATTGGTATAAATATAATTGAATGTCGATAAATTGTATTATTATATAAATAGTATTTATATTTAAACACTATTCACATCAAAACATATTTAACAATAGTAATAACATATATACACATAAAAAAGCGTTTTCTTCATGGTGCATTTTCAGTCAAATATATAAAATATAAATTTTGAACATGATATAATTTAGTAAATAAATGGATAAAGTTAAAATAATTTTCCATGACCAATAATAATATAAATGTTTTAAAAAAAAAAAAAAATACATTCACCAAATGTGTAGTCTAATATAAAATAGGGCATCAATTTTATTAGTTAAATACTAAATATTGAACATCACCACATTTATAAATTCAAATTACACATTTAAATTTTAATATTTATTATATTAAAATCAAATAAAGCAGATTATAATGTATATTATTTTATTTGTGACTGTAGTAGTGTAACTACGTTTATTTACTTATTTTACTTTTTCTTTTTATACATATACAAGTTTAGTAATATACCATACTTTTATTAAGCACGATTTTAACTATAAAAAATAAGTATATTTTAAATTAAATTAGGAAACATTTATAATATAATTTGTGTTTATAAAGGTGGTAGTAATAAAATGGGAAAAGAAGCGATTAGAACTGGGAAAAGAATTGGAGTCGAGAAAAGTTTAGGAAAAAGGATTGTACAAATGAGAAAGAAAAGTTTAGAAGACGACGGAAGTCACAGTTGGCCTCACAAGGGAAAAGTGTGAAAACCCATTTATGGAAGGTCTAAATCCGAAAAATTATTTCTTTTAAGTACAATTTTAAGTCAATTTCATTCTAATGTAAAAATACATGATGTTTTGAAGTATATTTAGACTTGAAAAAAATCATCGACCTAACTTATACTAAATAGTAGTTTTCCTTACTCAAGACTTTATCAGAAAAAGATTTAAACCTTTTCTTAATAAATTGAATTTACAATTTCGAAATTATTTATGATAATATATTTATTTATATACACAAATTTTGTTTCCAGAATTTTCTACAATAGTTAATTCGAGAGTTAATCACACTACTGACAATAATTTAAAACAATAAAACATGTTTTTATTATATTTTTATTTGTTTTATTACAGAAATGTTTGATGTATGACATTCTGTTTACATATTTGTGATGCAGCCATCACCTGCCCACATGACAACACCTGTTCGCCATCT